GGACTTGTTGGGCCGAAGGGCCTGTTTTCACATTGTCAGGATTCAATGATCTATGATTCCATTGAGGCAATTCAGAGAAGTTTCACTAGGCCTAACCCAGGTAAAAAAAAGATTGTCTTATGAGCAAGGGCTAAGCAGGTTGGTACTTTATTCACTGGAGATTAGAAGAATGAGAGGTGATCTCATTGAGACACATAGGAATCTTAAGAGGTTTGACAGGGTAAATGCTGAAATGCCGTTTTCCCCTCATGGGAGAGTCTAGAAGCACAGGCATGGTCTCAGTCCAAAGGGTCACCAAGTTAAGACAAAGATGAGGAGCAATTTCTTCTGTCGGAGGGTTGACCAAAAGGTCAGAAAACAGAGGAGCAAAATTAGGCCATTCGGCCCATTGAGTCTGCTCTGCCATTCGATCATGACTGATATATTTCTCAGCCCCATTATCTTTTCTCCTCCCCGTAACCCTTGAACCCCTTATCAATCAAAAGCCTATCTATCTCTATCTTAAATGCACTCAATTGGCTTGGCCCCCACACCCCTCTGTGGCAATGAGTTCTACAGAATCCCTGCCCTCTGGCTGACAAAATTCCTCCTCATCTCACTTCTAAAGGATTGTCCCTTCACTCTGAGGCTATAGAACATAGAACATTACAGCGCAGTACAGGCCCTTCGGCCCTCAATGTTGTGCCGACCTGTGAAACCAATCTGAAGCCCATCTAACCTAAACTATTCCATTATCATCCATATGTTTATCCAATGACCATTTAAATGCCCTTAAAGTGGGCGAGTCTACTATTTTTGCAGGCAGGGCATTCCACGCCCTTACTACTCTCTGTGTAAAGAACCTACCTCTGACATCTGTCCTATATCTATCACCCCTCAATTTAAAGCTATGTCCCCGCGTGCTAGCCATCACCATCCGAGGAAAAAGGCTCCCACTGTCCACCCTATCTAATCCTCTGATCATCTTGTATGTCTCTATCAAGTCACCTCTTAACCTTCTTCTCTCTAACGAAAACAGCCTCAAAACCCTCAGCCTTTCCTCATAAGACCTTCCCTCCATACCAGGCAACATCCTGGTAAATCTCCTCTGCACCCTTTCCAATGCTTCCACATCCTTCCTATAATGCGATGACCAGAACTGTACGCAATACTCCAAGTGCGGTCGCACTAGAGTTTTGTACAGCTGCAACATGACCTCATGGCTCCGAAACTCAATCCCTCTACCAATAAAACCTAACATACTGTACGCCTTCTGAACAACGCTATCAACCTGGGTGGCAACTTTCAGTGATCTATGCACATGGACACCGAGATCTTTCTGCTCATCCACACTACCAAGAATCTTACCATTAGCCCAGTACTCTGTATTCCTGTTACTCCTTCCAAAAAGTGAATCACCTCATACTTTTCCGCATTAAACTCCATTTGCCACCTCTCAGCCCAGCTCTGCAGCTTATCTATGTCCCTCTGTAACCTGCAACATCCTTCCGCACTATCCACAACTCGACCAACTTTGGTGTCATCCGCAAATTTACTAACCCATCCTTCTACGCCCTCATCCAGGTCATTTATAAAAATGACAAACAGCAGTGGCCCCAAAACAGATCCTTGAGGTACACCACTAGTAACTGAACTCCAGGATGAACATTTCCCATCAACCACCACCCTCTGTCTTCTTACAGCTAGCCAATTTCTGATCCAAACCGCTAAATCACCCTCAATCCCATGCCTCCGTATTTTCTGCAATAGCCTACCATGGGGAACCTTATCAAACGCTTTACTGAAATCCAAATACACCACATCAACCGCTTTACCCTCATCTACCTGTTTGGTCACCTTCTCGAAGAACTCAATAAGGTTTGTGAGGCACGACCTACCCTTCACAAAACCGTGTTGACTATCCCTAATCAAATTATTCCTTTCTAGATGATTATAAATCCTATCTTTTATAATCCTTTCCAACACTTTACCCACAACCGAAGTAAGGCTCACTGGTCTATAATTACCAGGGTTGTCTCTACTCCCCTTCTTGAACAAGGGGACAACATTTGCTCGTCTCCAGTCTTCTGGCACTATTCCTGAAGACAATGATGACATAAAGATCAAAGCCAAAGGCTCTGCAATCTCCTCTCTAGCTTCCCAGAGAATCCTAGGATAAATCCCATCCGGCCCAGGGGACTTATCTATTTTCACACCTTCCGGAATTGCTAACACCTCCTCCTTATGAACCTCAATCCCGTCTAGTCTAATAGACTGTATCTCAGTATTCTCCTCGACTACATTGTCTTTTTCCTGTGTGAATATTGACGAAAAATATTCATTTAGCACCTCTCCTATCTCTTCGGACTCCACGCACAACTTCCCACTACTGTCCTTGACCGGCCCCAGTCTTACTCTAGTCACTATGCCTTGGGTCCTAGTCTTTCCTACTGGTGGAAACATCTTTTCCACATCCACTCTATCCAGGCCTCTCAGTATTCTGGAGGTTTCAATGAGATTCTCGCTCAGCCTTCTAACCTCCATCAAATTCTCAAACGCTCTACATATGACAAGCCCTCCATCTCTAGGATCATTCTTTGGATCTGTTGGATCTCCTCCAATGCCAGCACATCTTTCCTTTGATATGAGGCACAAAATTGCTCACAATATTCCAAGTGCAGTCTGACCAGAGCCTTCTACAGCCTCAGCAGTACATTTCTGCTCTTGTATACAAGCTAACATTGCATTTGCTTTCCTAATTGCCAACTGAATCTGAATGTTAACCTTAAGAGACTTCTGAACTGGGACTCCCAAGTCCCTTTGTGCTTTTGATTTCTGAAGACTTTCTGCATTTAGAAAATAGTCTAAGCCTCTATTCCCACCAAAATGCATAACCTCACACCTTCCTACATTGTATTCCATCTGCCACTTCTTTGCCTACTCTCCTAGCCTGTCCAAGTCCTTCTGCAGCCTCCCCACTTCCTCAACACAACCTGCCCCTACACCTATCTTTGTCCATCTGCAAACTTAGCAACAATGCCCTCAGTTCCTTCATCCCGTTTGTTAATGGCTCACGTGAATAGCTGTGGTCCCAACATGGATCCCTGCAGAACTCCACTAGTCACCAGCTGCCATCCTGAAAAAGACTCTTTTATCCCCATTCTCTTCCTTCTGTCGGTCAGCCAAATCTCTATCCATGCCAAAGCCCTTTCTCCTTACAGCAACGACTCCTATGTAGCAGCCTCTTGTGTGGCACCATGTCAAAAGCCTTCTGGAAATCCAAATAGGTCACATCCACTGGCTCTCCTTTGCCTAACTTGTTCATTAGCTCCTCAAAGAATTCTAAGTGCTTTGTCTGGTGTGACCTCCCCTTCACTCTGCTGTATTTTACTATGCACATCCAAATACTCCGCAATCTCATCCTTTGTAATGGACTCTAAAATCTGAACAACGACCCAGATCAGACTAACCAGTTGTGAGTCTTTGGAACTCCTTGCCACAGAGAGCTGTGGGGGCAGAGTCCTTATGTATATTTAAGACTGAGATAGATAGATTATTGGTCAGTCGAGGGATCAAGGTTTATGAGACAAGGGAAGGAAAGTGGATGTGAGGAATGTCAGATCAGCTATGATCCTATTGAATGGTGAAACAGGCTCGAGGGGCCCGATAGTCTACTGCTGTTCCTATTTCTTATGGTCTCATGGTCTTAACTTGCACTATCTGGGCAGCATGATAGCGACGTGTACATGTGGCCAGTTTAGATTTGGTGTCAGGCCTTTCCTCCAGTATCCTATTATTTCCTCTTGTAAGTGCATTTCTTTTCTCGGTGTAATATGAAATTCTTCCTCTCCAAAATGCACTTTCTCTTTGATCAAGATAAAATAATGACGAATCATTATCAGATGAGTGACTGTGTCCTTGATATTAAGTTGCATTGTTTGAATTATTTCTATTCTGCTAGTGCTAAATATATATGACTGAATTAGGTGAACTTCTGGGGTCGTAAGTCCAAGTGATTACTCTGCATTTATTAGTCCAGTAACCACACAGCATATTTCTGCTCCCTAATCCTCCCCACAGCATCAGGAGCATGAACAAAAAAATCGCTTATTTTAATAGAGACAAATCCAGACTTGTTATCCTGTTGACCTGGGTGTTACCTGGTTCAATAATGTCACAGAATGAAAGTAACATTAGACAAGTACACTGAAAGTGGTTGTGATAAACTTAACAGCAAAATAATGAGGAGATTACCCCATGATTATTATTGAAGAACTGAATAAATATATCATGAAGCATGAAATAGTTCATTCAGAGGCATAGTACATGCAAAGTAGATCAAATTGCAACTATGACAATACTTTGCCTCTGGAGCTATAGGTTGAGCGATCAAGCCCCATTTTAGTGATTTGTGCCCTTAATCTGGACTAACACTCCTGTGCAGTGCTGAGACAGTGCAACACTCGTAGAGACGCCATCATTCATCTAAAATTTTATACCAAGGTCTAACGTGCTCATCAGCAATGTGTTGCATTATTTCTAAGAAGGGCAGGGGAATTGTCTTTGGTGTTCTTCCCAATATTCCTTCTCTAATGCCATCACTACATCTGGTCTTGCTCCTCATTGCTGTTTGCCGGAGCACACTGTTTGTAAATTAGCTGCTGTGCTTCTAATATGACACTGATGAGTATATGTCAAACAAACTTCACTGGATGTAAAACATTTTGGGAAGTCCTGAGGTTGAGAAAGGTGCTATATAAATGTAAATTACTGCTTTTATAGAGGTACTGAAAGATTTCATGTAAATATTCTTCACTCTTCATTTTAAAAGTGTGCCTCCAACAAAATTGTTGTTGAAACAGGTTTACACAGATGCCTGTCTCAAGTCTGTGTGTTTCCAAGATCATGTGTTTCCTCATCTTGTAAATCTGGAAAATCCCTCACATCATTTCCCAATTTTTTTTTCTCTATAACAAAAATGAATTTATCTGCATTATCCACCCTTCAGGGATGGGAACCGGACCTCTGCAGCTGGTTGAAAATTTATCGCAAGAAGCAATTTGTCCGTGGTTTGTGGAACAAATGTGGCCTGTAAATTGCCTCGCCGAATCACAAATCTCTCTCAGCCGCAAGTTCACGCAAAGTGAATCATTTGAGGGGAAGTTCAAACTGACAAGAAAGTGGAGTTTAAAAAAAGGTCAAATTTTTTTTTCAAAAAAAGTTATGAGCCAATTCACTTTTCTCTCGCTTAAAACATACGAATAAAAAAAATGTATATTTAACTTTGGCGCAGTGTTGACTTTAGACCTTTTGGAGCCGTTTTTAGAGAGGTGATATAGAGTATGATCTGTTGAACGCTTACATGCTATACTGTTGTGGTTCCTTGAGGCAAGGGTCTACTCGTAAATTATCTGCTTTATTTTGTTTTAGAATCAAGTGAAATGTTATTATGCTTTCACTGGGACTTTTCCTCCTTTGAATTATTACAGTAAAACAGCTCTGGAGGTCTGAGCATTGAAAGCAGGGGAGCTTACTTTCTTTGCAGGCAGACACATATTTCCATGTTATTTAAGGGCTCCAATGCAGGTTTGCCCTGGCGGATAAAGGTGCTATTCACTGGCATGACCAGATTTCATACAACACCTTAGTACAAAAACAAGGGCGAGGCCGAAAAAAGTCAAGACATGTTACCTTTCTTCACACAGTCAGGTGTATTATAGTGCATTCCCAGAGCTATTCCTGCCTCCTGTTGAAAGACTGTCAATGAGCCATTCCACGATGGGTTCCCACTTTACCGAACCTATACTGTATTACTCACTCCCTTTAAATTGTGCCATGTAAAAATAATATTCTGAAAGGATGCAATGTAAAAGTGTGAGGAATGGATTATCCCTTCTCATGTGCATCGACATTGTCAGCAAGGGATCTGTAGATTCATTTGTGCTATTCACGAGGGTTTTTTTTGGAAATTTACTTGTTCATAGGACGCAGGCATCGCTCGCTGGGCCAGCATTTACTGCCCATCCTTAACTGTCCTTGAGAAAGTGATGTTGAGCTGCCTTCTTGAACCGCTGCAGCCTATGTGGTGTATGTACCCCACATAGCTGCTGTTGGGTAGTGAGTTCCAGGATTTTGACCCAATGGATGCTGAAGGAACGGTGATATCGTTCCAAATCAGGGTAGTGAGTAGCTTGGAGGATAACTTTCAGATGGTGGTGTTTCCATGTACCTACCTCCCTTGTCCTAGGTGGTCATAGAATCCATACAGTGCGGAAGCAGGCCATTCAGCCCATTGGGTCCACACTGGCTATCCTACCCAGACCCACACCCACCATTCTACCTTACCCCTGTAACCCGTGGCTAACCCACCAAGCCTGCACATTCCTGAACACTATGGCTAACTTGGCCAATCCATGCTACCTGCAAGTCTGTGGACTGTGGAAGGAAACCGGAGTCCCTGGAGGAGATCCACACAGACACGGGGAGAACATGCAAACCCTACACAGACAGTTGCCCGAAGGTGGAATTGAACATGGGTCCCTGGTGCTGTGAAGCAGCAGTGCGAACCATTGAGTTACCGTGCTGCCAGTAAAGATCAAGATCATTGGTTTTTAATGTGCTGCTGAAGGAGCCTTGGTTAGCGTGCAATGTAATAGATATACACCACAGCTACTGTTTGCCATTGATGAGTGGAGTGAGTGTTTAAGGTGGTAAATGGGGTGCCGACCAACTAGACTTCTTTGTCCTGGGTGGTTTGAACTTCATAAATGTTGCTGGAAACTTTAATTTTCTGCCCGACTGTCCTGTATTTACAACATCTCTTTTTATGTCCTGCAGAAATCTGTCAGAATTTCAGTTTAGACCCTGGGAGGTCGACATTCCTGATCAGTTTCCCGTAATTTGTATTGAAATTTTATTCAAATGGCAGAGCCACTGGGTCCAAGATCCATTGGTACAGCTAGGTTTCAGGAACAAATCCAAATTTTGGCAGTGTAAATGATCTATTGGTGCAAAGGCTCCCTTCATATTCTGCAACTGAGGAGGCTTGCAGCTTTGTATGGTAGTGCATTGTACCTGCAACAAGAAGGCCCCAGTAAAGGGAAGCCGGTCAGTAGGAGCAAATGCACCTTACAAATGTGGACCTGCCAACTTCCAACAACAACTGAGTGACACATGGGCCTGGATGATGTTTTCAATTGAAGTATGTGAAGGAAGCCTATACCAAATTAAACCTGGCGTTAAGTGCCTTGTGAAAGTAGGATAACAGGAATCAGTCAGAGCTGTGAAGGAGTTTCCCAGTGTGGGTCAGCCATCAACCAGAACACTTAATGCTGCTGGGGAACAACAAAATTGTTTAAATCAGATGTGCTAGCATTTATATCAATCACGACCTAAGTAGGAAGATTTGTGTTTACGTGTGCATAGTAAGAACAAGGGCTTCACATTTTGACAGGTGAAGAAAATTCCTGAAAAACCTCATGCACCTAATGCCATTGAGGAAACCATCACAACTAGGTCCACTGAAGATTAAGAAGGATTCTACAACCTCTGTCCCAGATTAACAGGAGTGGGCAGTAGGTTTGTCTTCCCAGAATTATCCAGAACAAATAATGATTTCTAAATGGATCTAGTGTTATCTTCTGTTCTCCATATGCAGCATATCCCGTGCTCTTCTTCCACTACTTGAGCAGTAAGATAGATCTAAGCATGCTTCCTATGAAATGCAATTATTGCAGGAAAATATGGCAGTCATTTTCAAACAAGCGCCATCTTAAAAACAGCCACAAGATGAGTGACAATTTCATCTTGATATGTTGAATTGCAGTGTTGGTTGAGTGATGATAGAAGCCAGAAGAACTCCAGCTCTCCTTCACTAGAAGTCCAGTACTCCATTAGAAGTACTTTAAAAGGCCCAATGGTGGATATTTTACCAGTGGTGTGTAGCCATCTGGTGAACCCTGGTGGTCTCGCTGTAGGCTTAGTGTGTATGAAGCCCTCTAAACAGGCACTGTGACACCATTGATCACCCCTATGAGAACAATCCCTTTTTCTTTCTCATGACATCCTCTTCCCCACCCTCCAGCCTTCTCTGCACCTGGCGACCCTTGATCCCATTCACCTTGCTCCAAAGGTGACGTTCTTCACTGAACCAACTACTGGGTGCAGTTCCAGTAATGGCCACAATCCTGGTGGCACTGCTCAGACTAAATAGCAGGAGCTCTCCTGTGTTTTTTAAAGGGGCGGTGTTCCTAATTTGCTGCTGGGTGGCTCTACAAAATGAACTCATAAAAATGATTGAGCAGTGATGCGTTGTCTCCATCACCTTGACAAAATTGAGTCCTCGTATTTCTGTGGATCAAATAGTGGGAGCAGGTCACAGGGTATGACGCACATGCAGAATGGGTGACGTCACCAGATGCATTTACTAATCACTATCTTTCTTCACAACCTGAATGAGTAAGGCAATCTGCAGCTACTGACCATCCTTATAAACCTGGGCCAGAGGTCAGGGCATGCTTGTTAACCTCATTGCCGTGGTTTTCCACAATGGGGTCAGGTGTGGGGGACTTTTCAAGATTTAAATCCAGTGACACTGAAAGATGTTCCAATTCAAGATGCTGTATGGAGCTTGGAGGGGATTATTGAGAGGATGGTGCCTCTATAAAATTGTTGCTCTTTCGGTCTTTTCTAGGGATAGCAATTGCTTTCAGTTTGACAATTTTAGTTGAGCTCCACAGACCTTTGGAGGAAGAAGTTACAGATTTCCACAGCCATTGTGTGAAGGACAATGAGCTATTCCTAAAAGAACAAGGGCCAACGATGAGTGTGACCACTACCAATGCCTTCAATTTCCCCTTGAGGCCATATAATACCCTAGGTTGGAACATTATTGCCATTTCATAGAATCCCTACAGTGTGGAAACAGGCCCTTCAGCCCAACAAGTCCACACTGACCCTCAGAGCATCCCACCCAGACCCATCCCCCTTTAAACCACCTAACCTACACATCCCTGGACACTATGGACAGTTTAACATATCCAATCCACCTAGCATGCACATCTTTGGGCTGTGGGAGGAAACCGGAGCACCTAGAGGAAACCCACACAGACGCAGGGAGAATGTGCAAACTCCTCACAGACAGTCACCCGAGGGTGGAATTGAACCCAAGTCCCTAGTGCTGTGAGGCAGCAGTGCTAACCACTGAGCCACTGAGCCACTGTGCCACCCCTCTTATGCAGCTAATGGATCAAAGTCCTAAAACTCTCTCCCTGACAGTACCTACACCACAAGTACTGCAATAGTTCAGGAAAGTGGTTCACCATAAACATCACAAGGACGAATTCAGCCTCAGCTGGTATAAGCTTTCTAGGTGTTTTTCTGATTAAACACATTGAAGCACATGGTGAGTATTTCATAATATTCCTGACATGAGCCTTGACGATGGGATGGTTTTGATCAGTAGTGACAGGAGCTATCCATTGTAGAGTTTGCAACCTTCGCCCTGTTCCTATTATTCACTTGTATTATCATTACATGTACAAGGATTATCATGCAGAATATTAAATAATTTACAGCCTTTCATTATTGTGATCTCAACATAAATGGATATAACTCTTGTCATTGGCATCTACTCAGTAGTACCTGTCTTATCTAAAACCTGAACTTTAGCCTTAAAAGTTTGAAAATTGTATTCAAATCCAGTTTTTCATATTTCATACTGGAGTGTAATGACTTTAATATTTATTAAATCGTTAATAATGTTATTGTCAAATTTCTTGATAAAAGAAAATTGTATTTGCGTGTTGTGATTTAATCTGCAATATATTGTAATTCAATCAATCTGACATTTTAACGGAGAATTATATTTATTACAAGCTTCCTTTGCTACTGAATGTAGAGGGAGCTCTCTGTACACTTACTGATATCTTTCAGCCATCTCCCTGTTCATGGTTTTTTTACTGCTCTGAAATTTCTAGGGTCAGGGTGTTGTCTCCAACTTCCTGCTGGTGATATCACAGCAGGAGATGGTTTTACATGAAAACTCTATTACCAATCTGGTTCTGGACAAAAGTTTTGAAGCCTGTTGAAACAAAGTGGAAACAAGATTGCAGGTCATCAGAAATCACATCAGTATCTGATTCTGTAACACATTAGCAATATCACATCCTCTTATAATTATTACATGACCCTGCCTTCTATCAGTACCTAGTTAGTGCTAGTTCTAAAGGTTATAAAAGTTAATCTTGCTGACAAGAAGCAGGCCTGTATAGGATCATCAATTACCAATACTTCACCAGTATTCCGTTAGAACTGACTTGAAAAATCTTCTATCAACAAATTTTCTCGACACTTTTATCCTGAATATGCAAGACATGCATCATGTAAGGTCACGAAATAATCAAATGTAGATTATTGCTGTGTGGCAAATGAAAATGTACTTTACATGGAGCCTCATTTCCTCCCCCAATGAATTGATACATTGAAGTGAAACAAAAAGGCATTTGTGTGTGGTTCACTCAAAATACCAAACACCTATCAAAACAAAGAATTTGAATGCTGAGCAGCTAATGGGATCTGGGTGGTTAGGGAGAGCGGGTTAGAATGAGCTAGTTTCCCAACCCAAAGCCCTTTGGGCATACACCTGGTGTCAGGTCATGTTACACTGTTACTCCCAGACCTGCAGGTCAGGACCTAGTTACTGACAGGCCCGAAACCTCAGCATGTCTCTGAACCATCTCCGTAAGGCAAGGCTGTCAAATGCAGATCAGTTTACTTTCATGGACATGCAGGCATCTGTATTAATTATCAAATCGTCCAATGTTTTAAACATTGTCAGAAAATAGAACATCGTCAAAATGGTTAGGATTACTTGGCAAATGTTTAAACTAACAAAACGGATCAGTGCGTTGTAATCAGTCACTTCTTTCGTGTCTCTTCTTTCAGTGACATTTATGGGAAATGTGTCCAGCAAAGTTTAAGGAAGGTTCAGCATTCCAAACTGATACAAGTATTAACCATTTCACTGCCAAATCTCCTCTACAGCTTGTACAATGTAAGTATCTACTGCTTTCTAGAAACACAAAAAAAGGCACGTAATTATGAATGTTCATAGAGATCAGAATACCAAAATGTTTGCAGTAATCAGAAATTGGGCAGAGAATAGGACTTGTGAAAGAGGTGGGTCAGATATTTTGTCAAACAGATAGTTTGTTTTTAACTGAGAATTGGGAAAACAGAATGGTCAGGGAATTTCAGAGCGCAAAACCTCGACTTCTGAGGCATTGTTTCACTGGCTAGAAACATGTATTTCATTAATGATATTTTTAGACATATCAAGTAAAATTATCAAAAAATACTCTCAAACTATGTGGCATTTTATTTACATGCAAACTGAGATTTTTAAGTAGTGACTTCATTAAGAAGTTGTTAGGAGAAGGCAATGAGCAATATCGAACAAATTTACTGTTGAATTTGAATGTGTTGTTGGCATGGGTTAGTTTGGATGTATGGTATATTGACAGGCCAGGTGCTATGTTTCTGCGTAGTACGGTGTTCATTTCTAGCCACTGATTCTTAGCTAGTGAGCCCCTGGTCTCAGCTGTCTACAAAAGCAATGATCAATTGGAGATGGGAGGCTTTTCAGCAATATTTGGATTACTGCATTCAGTACACTTCAAGAAAGACATACTGACCTTGGAAGGGATGCAACACAGATTCACTGGATTGATAACAGTGCTGGCAGAGTTATATAAAGACAGAAACAGCTTCAAATACTCAGCAGGTCTGACAGCATCTTGCAAAGGAAGTCTGGAAAGAAATGCAGAGGTTTTCTTGAGGTTGATCCTGAGCAGCTCTGTGACACAGGACCCTGTGCTCTGGCCTGTTCCCCAGGACACACACCGAGACAAACATCGACCGCGCCTGGAGGACAATTGACTCAGTGAAAGACATTCTTCAGTCTGCCCAAAATTTGTTGGCCTTCCAGAACAAGGAGCTGACCCCAACCGAATGTTGCAGACTGGCACATTCCAAGGTCCTGGACTACATGCTGAGGGATGTACTAAAGCTTGGGGAAGCTGCTGCTAAGGCACAATGGGGATAGATCAATGTTTGAGGTCTTTCTGCTGAAGTTAAATGGGGGTTCATTCAGTTAGTGGATGTAATGCATGTAAATATAGTCTTGTACTAGTAAGAGATGCCTTTGGTTTATATGTTGGATACAGTCAAACTCCAATTTTTGTCTTTTACTTCTTTTGCTACTGTGCAGAACCAAACTGCATTCATTACTGAGTGTGTATATATGCACATAAAAATATTTTATGAATAAAATATATTTTTGAAATAAAAAAAGGTCACAGCATCTCTAAAGAGAGGAGTGTCACATTCAACTTGAAACTTCAGCTCTGTTTCTCGATCCAAGACAAATTGTTTCCAACAATTTCTGTTGTTGTTTCAGATTTCCACCTACAATATTTTCAGCTACAGTATTTTGCTTTATTATGTGGGAGTTAAGTTATAAGGGCAGGTTACATAAATGTACCTTTTACTCACTTGAGTGTGGAAGATTAAAGGGCGATCTGATGGAAGTGTTTAAAATGTTAAAAGGGTTTAACAGGGCAGATACAGAGAAACTGTTTCCTTTGATGGGTGAATAAAAAAAATAAGTGAATGTAATTTTGGAATTAGAATTGGACAAATCTGGAGTGAAACAGGGAGCCCTTTCCATGAAAGCAAATGACTCTAAAGGAGATCAATATTGGACTCAAAATGTTAAATCCACAAACGTTACCAGATCTGCTGAACACCTTCAGTTACTCTCAGCTTTAATTCTATAGCCCCTTTTCAAACAAGCTTTACATAGCTATGGAATCTGAGACAAATGGAGCTTGTAGGACATGTGGGCAAAATGAAGTTGAAGTGAAGACCAGTGGTAATTTCAGTAAACAATGGAGCAGATTGAAGAAGTTTAATGCTCTAGTCCTTTTTGGATATTCACACTGGAATGGTGCACAATATGAAGGAATCTAATTCTTTAGCCTCGCTCCCATTTCCACAATTTCATCCCATAATATTCCAGCTCAATAATAACTTCAAAGAAACTGTTAAAAAACTTATTTTTAAAAGCAGCAAAAGCAACATTTTACTTTCAGTGTTTATTTTAAACTTTAAACATTTGAATTTGTGTGTAATATTTTATAAGACCTAAGAATTGCAATCTTGAGCTTGCACATTATAGATTGCATATTTCTACTAACACTTGTATGATTCTGAGCTGTGCCTAAAGAATTTGTCTTGAGAAACATTTGTCCTGATACCAAATATAGAAATTTTAACAAAAGTTCAGTCTTTAAAGATTCTTTGACACCTCATTGGAAATTCTGCACCTAACTTAAAATAAGGCTTTTTTTTAAATCAATTAGAAAACTTTTCATATAACATTCTGCTAAATAACAACAGCAAAATGTAGTTCTGTTTCAAGAGATCCAATACCATTAACTAACAGCAGGAAGCCAAAATAAAAACTTAAATTCTGCCCCTTTTAAAGATATTGCTATCTTTTCAATATCTGAATACTCTCTCAGGGTGCATAATATACAATTTGACATGCTTACACTGTGTCATACACAGCGAGGTTGCTTTACATTGGTTAAAAAAATCTTGTTACAGTAAACGTCAAAACTAAAAAAAATGAAATGGCTGGACACAAGAAAAATAAGATACATTTTGACTGCAGAAAAAGTGAGAAATGCTTTGATTTTTTTCATATTTTGAATCCTTGTTTGAATCTAGTTACTAAACTGAAACTAACAGTACAGTATTGTTTACCATAGGTATGCAGTATGAGACTGGTGTGTTGAAATGTGGCAGTTTATTTAATTGCGAAATTCCTCAAAGTGCCTCCAGGTTAGCTTCTCTCCAGCAGGGGGAGCAGGGCACTAGCACACAACCCCAAGACCTTGACTTGATCTTCACGACTAGCCATTTGTTTATTTCCATTATGTTGCACAGATATAATATTGGCTGCAGTTAATTTGAAGTTGAGGGTTTTGTTTTGCAATAGGAGTATCCTGTTTCCTGCTGCTCTTCACGCCAGAGCCCTAGATGGAGACATTCACCTGATGGATTTATGCATTTCCACAACACAGTGTAATTAACCCCTTGAGAAATATGGCATCATGAAGAACTGTAAATATATCAAGATCATGCTTTGTGTTGCTTACTCGATGGGCAATATAAACAAAGACTCAGTTCTGATTCCCTCATATTTCTCTCATTTAGAAGTAGCATGTATTCACAGTTGATGGTGAATCAGTCCTGTATTTTGAAAATGGCAAAAGAAAATGCAATTCTTGAAGGAAAAAGATCAGTAAGTATGCACAAATCAAAGGACCAAAAGTTACATACAAGTTTTTTGTTGTCTGTGGTGTTGGGCTGTGTCTCAATTTTAAATTGACTGTGGTGAATTGCTGAGAATATTTGGCCTGACATCATCACGGAGACAAATTCACAGTATCCAGAATGTGACAAGAACCAACTTGACCTTGTGTCTCTTGGTTAATTTGTTTGCTGCATGGTAAACATTACGAAAGGTTTTCCAGTAGGTCTCGTCCGCAGAGCAGAGCAGCCGGTTTTACCTCAGTCAAAGCCCCATTTACTCCGAGAAGTGGCTCCCTATATCCTAGGGACAAGCTGCTGTTTGACCCCAAGAATGTCGGTCAAATAGATATAATGTGAATGGGGCTTTAGAGCTTCAGCAGAGTGGAGTTCAAGTCCTGCTCAGCAACATTGCCATTTGAAGCTGTGTTTACATTAGAAATGACTTTCCCTAAGGATGTGGAGAGTTTTTTTAAAAAAGTACTTTTTTTCTTGCTTGCAAGGAAAATGACTCTCTGCATCCCACTGGGATTGGTGGATGACTGGAGAACATAAGTGGCAGCCAATTGTCTCTTTAAAATTTCTTTTCAAAGTAAAGGAGATTATCTTTGCCTCAACCCTCTTTGGAAAGAGAAACCTTTCCCTCTATAACTATATAACTTCCCCATCATGTGTTCAGACTGGAACATTCCACGCCCTATACAACCCCCCCAGACTATGGGGGAAACCTTGAAGATTCCTGCCGCCATGAAAGAGTTAAACCTTCAAATTCTGTTCAATTTTATCCCAAATAGCTGCCACAAATATAAATCAAACCTTGTCAAATTATAACATAATCAACTCTTTAAGTAAATCTATACAATAAAAGTAATCTGCTGAACTACAAAACTGTGTGCAATTTGTGCCTTTTTATATGTTCTGACTTGGTCTGTCAGTTATGATTTTTTTTTGGCTGGACTGTTACATTTTTTTTCAACAAGTCTTCCATTGCATCCCCCTTCCCTCTTCTAGTGCATTTCCTTTTAATAGCATTCTCCATCTCCCAACCCCCAAGCTCCTGCACATGGCAGTGGAGGTCACGCCAGTCCGAGCCTGGATTTGAAGCATATGGTACTAACCCCTCAGATCTGCTGACCTCATCATTTCTCAATGGGTGCACTTGACAACCAGTTACTCACAGAGGTTCTGGTTGTGGGGCCCCCCTGCCCTGCTCTCCTGTACCACCCAAAAAATAAAGAACGTCTTCTATATTCTTGTCTGCCTCACACAAGCCGTTTGAGGAGCTATTTAACAGAATGATTGCATGTAAACAGGCTGGTTACTTCATTAATCTTAGTTACTTCTTACAAACCTCTCTTTCACCGTCCCCTCTCTCTTTAAAACCAGAACTGTGGACAAGTTGATTGAGGAATCTGGATTCTTCGACCAGAGTGGTCTGCCTTTATGAATCATTCTTGAGTGATTTCACAGTCAGCCCTATCTGTGGAAATTGTGCTCTCTTTCAGGGCCTCCATCTAAAGCCAAACAGTGACTCATTGTTTCAAGCAGGCCAATGGATTAAGTATGCTGACTGTCAGATTGACAGATGCTTTATATTTTAAAAGTGAGATAAAACATTTCAAGTCAAGCAAACTTAAGCCAAAAGATGTCATTGTCCCAATTTCGTCAATAGAGGACATTTTAAGTGATGGTGTTCAGATGGTGGCTATTTCTCTCCTCACATTTAATTTTCTCTAATTGTTATGACTCTGCTTTTCCTGAAAGCTGCAGTATCTCCCTTTTCAATATTCTTTATTATAGTATGGCAGAGCACTGCAATATCCAGCATACACTACATCCCCTTTCACACATCACAGGCTTCTCACGTTTCCACATATGGGAGCCCTCTTACTCAGTTCCACACACAAGCTCAGAATCCCCTCAGATTTCTCTGCTCTCTTTTATGGTCTCCGTGACAAATCACAGGTGTGTTTTGCACTATTTGCTTTTACACTATTACATTGAAAAACACGTTCAATTTTGTCAGTGCTTAAATCAGGGAGATGGAACTTTAATAACATACGTCATGATACCTAATGTTAAGTGGATCCCTATAAACTCAATTAGTAATATTTAGGTCAATCGGCTTCTGAAAAACAGCTAGTAACATTTTAGATTGGGGTTGAGAAGTTGAAGATCAGATTGGGCTCCTTCAAATCACTTCACAAAATAAGATATAATCTTTAAAGACTTATTTTGAAAATTGATATAGGCTGATAAGAAACCGTTAACTTCAGAAAATATTGAAACATTGGTAAGGTAGGTAAGACAGAGTAAGACAGTCTAATTAAATGATGGAACTATGATTGTCCTGTGACTGTTCAAAATTCTTTAAATCTTCTCTTGAGTGAGGTGCTTTGTTTAAACAATGCTTCAGTTTGTCTGTTTTAACTGAAGTGATTAAAAAAAGAGCAAAATTAATCATTCAATCAAAATTCAGAAGTGGATTTCACTGAATACTTGTTTTCCTACAGTTAACACTGAGTCCTCATCTGTTCACAGATGAGTTGACACCTAATCAGAGCTCCCTTTGCATTATAACTTCAGAAATCCTATGTTGATATTTAGTTTACATTTGTAGTAAAGTACAGTGGATATTACTTGGAGCAATGCTAAGCATCAGGCACATGGCTTAATGCTGCTACTGAATTAATCTCAGACTTGAAAAACACAGAAACCTCCCCCCCACAACCCTGCCCCCACCTCTGAGTTTAGCTGATCTTCTCAGAGAAAACTCCTTCAAAATGAGGAGAGTACTCCTTGTAAATCATCACCAAATGTTCTGTATCTTCAACCTTCAAAGCAAAGTAGTGTCGCTGAAGATAACCAGTAACTCGTTAATATTCGCTTCAATTCTGAGGCACTTTCTCTAGTAAATCAAGAGGGCTAAGTTTGTCCGTTTCAGTGTTCTTCTTTTATATTCACTGTCTCTCAATTATTATTGTCTTTCTGAAGTGTAGAGCCTAGATTGCTATTTTATATCTAAAATGTCCTGGCAAGAAAATCTGAAGATTTTTTTTGCCGACCAACTTTGACGATGATACAGATGTGCAGATTTCAACTTTCACTTGTTTTTAATATTTTGTTATGAAATGAAATAAAATTTGAGCCTCATCCCTGCCTCTGCTACTTTTACTGTGTAAAATTGTTCGAGTAACACAATCCCAAGGGCATGTAGCCTTTTTTCTCACTCTCGTTATTTTTAAAGTCAGAAATGAGTTTAAATGTTTACTTTTTCATTGAAATACGTAAAACAGTTTTATCAACCACCTTCACAAATTAAATCATTCACTGAATCTTTAAGAATGCATAACATACATTTGATCCAATTCAAAACTACTTGACTTTAATGTTCAAAACTAAATATGTGCCTTAGTTTTTAGTAAATAGACTTTCTTTAATTTTGTACAAAATTGTCTTTTTTTTACAGAGTGGATCTCCATGTTAGTTTTGACTTGTTTAAAGGTACAAAAGCTTTGTGCAGACCTTGATGTAACCCAGATGCTTGTATCATCTACCTTTTTTTTCCCTTTAAAATTGATCCTCTATAGGTTTCCTTTTATAAGTCTCTAAGCATATTTTTAGCTTCACAGACCAGCCCTTGATGAAAAGTAGATGCTAAATTCAGCAGCCAGGCCTCACCTAATTAGCAAAATGGGCTTTTTCTTTCTTTCTCTCATTCCTTTTTAAGCATTTAGTCTCAGGAGAGGCATCCAAGCTCTCAGCTGGGCTGTTTTGAAAACATTTCTTTGAATGCTTCTCCCTAATTCACAGCTTTGTTTTTAAGCTTTTGTGTTTGACTGTTTGACCATATAACATTATACATCTGGTCTAAAGCATGTTTGTAGTTTCTTCTCCCAGGGAACCTATGCATTCCTTCAACTCCTCCTGTGCAAATTCCAACTGATCGTGTAACATAAAGAGGCTAAAGTGGTGCCAAGCCGAAATGAGTGAAACATGAAAAGAGTTGAAAAGAATTCTTTCACTCCTTTTTTTTTCCTCCACATTCTACGCAACTCAGTGTCAACAGCAACAAGTCCAAATCATATAACTGTGGGAAAATGACATATAGTAGAATGGAGAACTCATTTAAATTCTCACTAGTAAACATTTCTTGGCCACTTTGCCAGGCAGGGGGGCGAAAAATGTCCCTAGATTTTGTCCATTGCATAATGTTGTAAGTGGTCTGAGATCTCTAATGGAAATGACCTGTCTTGTTGTTTTGAGATCTTTTTGATTGTTTAGTTGTATGACTCTATGACTGCTGCATTGCTAAGAAAGTAAAACCTCCTAAATAGCCCTTTATAATAGACTGAAGTCTGCTGAAGTAGGGAGACATTCTACATGTACCTAGGCCCGGGAGCGAAACAGATACGAGACATTGGGACTCGGATAATCCTGTTTGGGTGTAGCATGTGGTAATGGAGATGTTTATTTTATGAAATGTCACAACAGGGATGCTATAATCACAAAATCATGCAAAGATCTGCAATTAGCCAATAATGATGAATGAATAATAATGCTGCACACATTTTTTTATGTGATGTTACATGTTTGTGTTATGCGTGTGCCTGTGTGATTTTTATTGGGAATTATATACCAATTATAATAAATTATGATTTACAAAATTGCAAATTACGGGATTAATTTTAATATTCCTTGTTTTTGCAGCCAAAACCCTTGCAAGTGAGCACTTCTGACTTTTCTAAAGACGGCCACTAACTAAGACAGCAACTGAAGCTGAAGGATTAGGTTGTCAAGCTCAGCTTGTCATTTTCAAAAAGGACTGCTGCTTGTTACATCTTCACAGACCCTGGCTATTGCTCCCGACTTTAAAAGAAGACAACCGTAGCCTGCATTGATCATGGATGTCCTGCTTTTATACATTAGAAGTTGTGGGGCTGTAAAGCTAATCACATTTGTTGAGTATGAATTTATCTAAAGGGAGGATTTCATGTGGAACCTCGAGGGTTAATGGAATGCTTGGCTGCACATTCTAAGAGAGTAAGGAGGCTTCTCCCAATCAGCTGTCAGCAGGCATAATAGCACAGGATGGGCTGTGTTAAGAAACAATATTCAGCAGTTTGAAGGCTCCCTTCAGCCTTCACAAGGAGGCTGAGATACACATCACTTACTCCGATATTGAAAAAACCATTGTTTTTTCTTTCCTCCTCACTTCTTCCTCCTGGGTTTGAATGACTAACCAGTGGAGCTGATCTGCCCACTTTATCTCATTAGATGCACCAGATAGAACACATTGATGTCAATCTATTGTTCACAGTCTTGATTTGAACAAGGGCTCTGGTCAGGAGGGGGCTGCTTTCAACGTGCGGAGGGCAAAAGAAAGTTGAATGGAGTTGATATCATACAAGTGTTTATCTTTTTGTCGTAAGATTGGATGAAAAAAGTCTGCACCAAAAATAAATTTTGGCCCTTTAGAAGTTTACTAAGGCAACACAGTTTAATTTTGTGAAGTCAATTAATGATTTTAAATGTGTAAAAATAATCCTTGATATGTATTTAACAAGCTATGTGCATTATTTAGAAGGGAAATCTAAACAATTAAAATCTCATAAATTGTAAAGGATGTGTGTGAGTGTCATTAAGGCAAGGAAAAACTGTGTCATTGTTCATTCTATGTTAAGTCTTCTTCTCATTTGTTCCTGTATGATCCTTTGATCTCTCTGTCTATAAATTCTGTGTGCCCTCTCTCACTGCACCTGATGAAGGAGTGGTGCTCTGAAAGTTTGTGATTTCAAATAAACCTGTTGGAGTGTAACCATGTGTCGTGTAATTTTTGACTTTGTCCACCCCAGTCCAACAATGGCACCTCCACGTCATAGCTTGCTTAATGGCAGACTTCACCTTGCATCTGGGAGACTGGGTCCATTCCCTCCTGCAAATTTCTTCATCAGGCCTGTCCGTGCTGGGCCACAATCATCAAGGCAATGGGGGGAAGGTGAAGCTGCAACGTAGCAAACCCAACAGTAATGCCAAGCACTTCACCCCTAAAGCTGGCTCCTTTGCCCGATGGACTGGTGAACCCCTTATGTGGACTGGTGCTTGGCACATTTTATGCTGAGTGGGCTATGTAGATAGCTCAGTACATACAGTTTGAGCTACATTGTCTCCTGTACTGTAAAATCTTATAATTTGAGGTCAACATGAGCTAAATATAGATAAAAATAAGTGTTCCTACACTATTGTAGCACAATGTAATTTCCAAATCTATATTAAAATCAGTGTGACCCTGTTTATACATTGACCTTGTTTTAATAATAATATTGAAGCATCAAATTTGGCAAAGAGCAAAGTGTCAGAAGAAGAATTTGCCACTTTATTGGTGGCCCTTTAATAGTGTCCAGCATAACAGAAAAAAAGTGTCTAGTTTTTCACAAATATGGTACCTTTATAAATAATATTGAAGAGATGTGTTTTGGTCTTTTCTATTACCATTTTAAAGATGGTCGTTTTTTCTTGCATTTTTTTGTATCAATAAGCATAAGTGGTGAAGTCTTAGTTCAATTGTACAACAGCTTGGTTAGACCTCTGCTGGTCTAAGGCTCTTAAAGACACCTTAACTCAGGAAAGATAGTATTGACATAAACAGAGAGCAATGAAGATTCACCAGACTGGTTGGATTGTCCCATGAATAGAGATTCGGCATACCAGGCCAGTTTATTCTCTAGAATTTCAAAGAATGAGAAGTGATCCCATTTCCCTTTGAGTCCCACCTGCTTTAGAGGTGTGTAATAACATCTCTGAACAGGTTGATTAGAAAATATCTAGACAGACAGACAGGTTATATGCAAACAATATGTTTCCCATGGTGAGGAAGTCTCTGAGATGTGGAGGAATTATTTTACTTCGAGGGTTGTGAGATTCTTGAGTAGATTTGTAGCTCGAGTTGTGGATGCTGTGTTTGGTTCGTTCTCTGAGCTGGTTCGTTAGTTCGCAGACGTTTCATTACCCTGCTGGGTAACATCATCAGTGCAGCCTCCAATGAAACGTTGTTGTGTTTTCCCGCCTGGTATTTAAACTCTGGGGTCCATTGGATTTGATTACCTCATTTCCGGTTTTCCTTCGCAGTGGTATATATATAGGGTCGAGTTCTATGTGTTTGTTGATGGCCTTCTTAGTGGAGAACCAAGCCTCTAGGAATTCCAGTACTTGTCTCAGTTTGGCCTGTCCTAGGATCCTGGTGTTGTCCCAATCGAACTGGTCGTTCTCCTTATCCATGTGAATGGAGATGAGTGAGTATTGGTTGTGTCTTTTTGTTGCTAGTTGGTGTTCATGTATCCTTGTGGCCAATTTTCTTCCTGTCTGTCCAATGTAATGTTTGTCGCAGTCCTTGCATGGAATTTTGTATATTACTATGGTTCTGTCTATAGTGGATAAGGGGTCTTTAGTTTGAGTTAGCAGTTGGCGTAGTGTTGACTTGGGTTTGTGTGCTACTCTGATGCCCAGTGGTCATAGGAGTCTTGTGGTCAGTTTGGATATGTTCTTTATGTATGGTAGTGTGATGAGTTGTGCATGCAGTATCTTCCTGTTGTTTTTCATGTGATAGGCATCATCAGATCCAGCTGTTCAGGTATCCGTTGTCCTTAAGTACTTGGTTGAGGTACTCTTCTTCCTTTTAGCGTAGTTCCAGGTTGCTACAGTGTGGTGTCGTTCATTTAAATAGAGTTTTCATGCAACTTCGTTTGTGGGTTTTAGGGTGGTTACTGTTGAAATTCAGTACTTGGTCAGTGTGTGGGGCTTTTCTGTGTACCTTTGTCAGGAATTCCCCATTGGCCCTGTGTTCTACCGTGACATCCAGGAATGGGAGCTGTTTGTTCGCATCACCGCTTCTGCTATTAAAGACTCGAAAACATGGCCCTTCCTCAAATCCAACTTAAACTATGGATCCGATACATGGACGACACTTTCGTCATCATCAAATGGACCAAACTAGAGGAGACACACCAACTAATAAACAACACTCTCACAGGCATCTAATTCACCAGGGATGGATGAGTAAAAGGGATTGAAGTGTTCATTCAGCCATTGAACGGTGGGCTAGTCTTGACAGGCTGAACAGCCTATGCATTGTTTACATGTGCACA